CAGTGGTCTTCTGGACCTTCATATCCAGCTCTGGTATTGTATATAAACCACTGGTGAACAGTGCATCTGTCTTCCTTTGCTTTCCTCTTCTCCTCACTTGCTTCCCTAAGGATTAATTTACTTGAATAGGGGCTGTTTTCCTCCGTGCTGCTCTGTGGCTGGCTTGCTGTCATTGTCCTGCTGGGTGCCCAGATGCTCAGGGCCTTCTGAATTTTTCCTGCAAACAGAAAAATTTCCCCCAACTACTCTTGTCTCTTAAGGCCTTCCCCCCCGCTCTGCTATACTCAAGCCACTTACTCCTGTGAGGATCCACAGCAGGAAAACCAGACCCCCACAGGCTCCCCCTGGCTCCTGGTCCCTTGGCCTCTCTTTCCATGTCATGGCACGGGACACCAGCACCCTGGGAGACAAATGTGTGTCAGCTTTCACTTTTAATTCCTTTCTCCCTATGTGGTATCATTATGTGCAGTATAGAAGAAAGTTTTTAGTCAGTGATTGGGGTCAGCTGCCTTTTCTGTCCAGCACAAAGTATTTGCAGACCACATTGCCTGTTTCGGTTTCCTGAAAACCGCTGAATAGGTATTGCATTTCTTTGCTTTATCAATTAAAAAAAAGTGGTTTTACTATGCCACTTATCCAGCTACTGAAATAATCATGTAATTGGGACATCATAAGAGCTTTCTTAGCAGCTTTTATTTTCTTTTATTTTCATTTCTACAAAAATGTGTCTATTCTTTGTGCCTGCCATATGAGTGAACTTAGTAAAGGGGACAAAAAGACTATCAGATTGCAAGGCTGTTGCTTTGGAGTTTTGAAGGGTGCAATTATATCAAAAGCCTGAAGCTATTTTTATCTCCAGCCTCCCTCATCCTCAACTGTTAGACTTCTTTTTAATTTAATTTTGATACTTTGGGTTTTTATTAATATTTTTATTTTAGCAATATGAATTATTTGTGTTCCTGACAGAGAAAATTCTGTTCAGGTAGTTTTTATCAGTAAAGGATGTACCCCAATTCTTCAAACTGCAATTAGTGTGTGCTTTGATGGCTTTGGGAATCCAGACAGCTGTTATAGATACATGCCTACTACATAGTCACGGTCAGTATAGCTTTTGATTTAGACAGGATGGCTTTATCTATGGCATTCTCAGCAGCTGAATATTTAGTAAAGAGAAAGAACTAGTACCCTCTCTTGATTTTTAGCCATGTGTTTCAGCCTGTCTCTGCTGAGTTGGGCAGGTGAAAGCATGTCCTACTCCCAGCAGACCTGGCTGGTTGTCCAGGTGGCCCTCTTGAAGCACCAGGCACCAGAATAAGCCCCAGGGAGTGCCTTCCATAAAAACTGACTTTGTGTAGCTCTTCAATTACTGTAAGCAACATAAAATTTCATGGTGCAACTTCCTTGACTCCCTGTGAGCTGAAGAAAATGATCAAAAATGATGACAGCAAGCAATATGCCATCTGTTTTAGTCACCTCTTTGTGGCTACTGGCAAAATGCTCAGGAGTTGCTATTTTGAAATTTTTTAGCTGGTAATTGTTTAGGGCTGAGCATTTGTTCACTTGTAGGTTTAGAGGTTTCTAGAGTCCCCTGGCAGGTGGTTTTTAAGGAATGTGGTAGTACCAAGCTCTTTCTTAGCACTCATCACCAAAAATCTCACAGGACCACATCAAATGTGTATTGATTTAGTTTTTTTACCAGTAGGTTAAGCTGCAGCAAGGCTGTTTGCTCAAGAGCACGTAAGGTTCGTGCAGATTCTACCAGCACTACCTATCCTTCCTCCCAAGCTGTGCTTGAACAAGCCTACTGTTCTTGGCCATAATACAAAGGGAAATATTAAACTTGACTAGTTAGGAAACACTTTCAGAAAAATTCCTAGTGGCAGAGTATCTGGTTGCGTGACCTTAGAAGCATGAGCCACCAGCCGTGTTTTTGTTTGGTGGATTGCACAGAGAGAATCATTGGGCAGTCCTGGAGTTGTGGATGAATGCAATCTGTTCTCAGTGGTGTGAGCACAATAGGTACCTCCTGGAAAAGTGACTCTAGAAAGCCTCAGAAAGCCTGGAGGAGCACGTGTGACCTTGTGCATTGGCTGTGGGGGCTGGGCACAGAGCAGGGGCAGCTGTAGAACTGGACTGGTGCTTGCAGTTCTGCTACCAGCCACGTTACTGGCCCATGCTACCAACAGGGATTAAGCTAATTTTTTCCACAAGCCCAGTGTCTTGACCTCCCTGTGCCATTACCATTCCACACCTTTTGGAAATCTGTCCAGGACAGTTAAAGGGCAGCTCTTTCAGCATGCAATTGTTAAATGTATTGCCCTTGAGAGGCACATGCTGTCCTTTTTCAAGACAGGTTAACTCTGAAATTACTTAACTCATTTGAGCTGTGCTGTTGCTGTACCTCAGTTTGTCTGTGTGTCTAATAAAAAGAAAAACTTACCTAATGTCTGTAAATTGCTTTGATATTTAGGCTAAAGGTGCTGACAGAAAAATGCAAAATTAGCGAGAGGGCATTTCAAAGGCACAAATAGGAATTGGAAAGCTAGCTCCCCTTCGTTCCTTGTAAAATGCCTTCTGCAAATAGTAATTCACACAGTACTGTAGACATCCAAGATGTGTGGGAAAAGTAACTGCAGGTCCATATCTTGTTTGGTTTTGGCTGTCCTGTTCCTTATGAATACTAGGAAACAATGAATCAAATGCATTTGTTTAAAACAGTAAACCTCAATGAAACTGCCATGGTATAAATCAAGTTATGGTATGCCTTTAGGGGATTGATCAGTAAAAGCAGCACATACTGAAAGCATAATGCCTTGGTTTGATGCAGCACCTTACTGGGTCTTGAGGGAAGTGGATGGGTTCTGGGTTTAATTTCATTTCCCACCTGCTTTTTTGGAAGCAAGGAGACCCTTTGAAGCCACTTTGTCTTTGCAGCGGTGATTCAGTGAGCATGCAATGTGACGTGACCTTGGACGTATCCTGCATTCTTCAGGAGGGAGGAAAAGGACTTTGGGTCTCCCACCTATCCTCCAGTGCCCATTAACAGAGCAGGCATCTGTGTGGTTGTGTTTCAGAAGTGTTCCTCTTTTTATAAATATCTCCATGAACAAAGTGAGCAGCTGCAGTGTGGTTCGATTACCTGTACTGTGGATGGCAGCAGGAAATGCTTGGAAGTGCCTGGTGTCCCTCTCCTCCAGGGGTGAGAGGTGCAGATGGGCACGGAGGGCCACACCTCTGCAATGGGAAGCTCAGAGTTGGCTGGTTTGGGCTGGGGAAGGAGCTGGGGAAGCTGAAAACCAAATAATGCCTTGTAGCTCCACAGGTGCGTCTTTCATTGTGTCACAGTGAACATCCCCATTTGGTAACTGCAAAAAAAATGAATTAATGCTAGCTAATGGGTTGCTGTTGCCTGGCCAGTGATGAGTAGAAAGAAACTTGAGTTTGTGGGAGACAGGAACATAAGATTGAACAATTTGTCTTTTAACAGTACTGAGCTGACAGCCACAGGGGCCATACTTGCAGAAATAACAAAGTGATGGTGGAGTGAAACAGGCCTGTCTTCTCACTTGGTCTAAACCTCTAATAGTGTGTTCTCCACATGCTGCCAGTCTTCTCTCCATGTGCTTATAGGGTGTTGTGGTGGGACTCTTGATGTTCTTCTGGTTCTGGTTCTTGATGAAACTTCTGGTTCTACCCAAGCTCCTGAGCAGCAAACAGCACCTGGCAAAAGAATGAACTGGGCTTGCTTTCAAGTGGTGGCTGCAAGACTTTCTAGGTGTTCCCTTTATTTTTGGACATCACCTAATCTGTCTGCAGAGTTTTTTGCAAACCTCTCCTTCCCTTTGGTGGCAAGGGTGCTTATGTTACATTCTGCAGATGTCTCTATCAGCCTCAGTATATTTTCCTGTCTCATGGCTGTGATAATGCTGTGGTTTGTCATGGAAGCAATTATCTTCTCTTGGTCCAGCACCAAATTTGTCTTTTCCGTTTGCTGGAGGTCAAGGTCAGGGTGAGAGGCTGCACTTGTACTGTGCTGCAAATGCTCAGAAATTACAGTACCTCCTTCTCCTTCTGTATGTGCAGGGATGTAAAGCCATACTTGCACTGGTGTGTCAGTATTCTGGAGAATAACATGCATTACCTTCAAGGAAGCATATAATAATGGTTTTTTATGTTCCTGTAAAACTGTGGCTATGTTTATTTACAAAGGGTATATTGTGTACTGTGATTGGAGTGCATTATTGGAGGCTTAGAATATGGAAGAATTTTTCCTTCAGATAACATGAAGTTTCAGTCTTAGATTTCTTGTCAGGCATTTTCCTAAGTAAAAACCTAATTGTGACAGTTACAAAACTAATACAACATTCACAAGTTGCCCTTTAATTCTATTTGACTTTACATGGTTGCAAGTTAAAGTACTTCAAAGAAGGTAATAGTAACTCATTTAGCAAAAACAAGAATACTACGTTACTTAATGGTAAATAGAGTAGTCTTTGGTGACGGTGTTTTTCTGTAGCAATGACAAAAGTTACTGATTAATGCCCTTAAAATGGTAGGAAGGAGTATAGTGCTAAACACTTAGCTTTTTCAGATCATGAGTGATTTGTTAATGTAAGATTAAGTGGTTTTGGCACTTCAGTGGTACTCATGCATGTATCATGGACTTGCTGTCAGATTTTCACTGACATAAAGCCCTTGGAGTCTCCCCACGTTCCTCTCTTGGCAAATTTCTGAGAAGACCCTTGGAAACTTCATGGCTCTCTTGAAAAGTAATCCTGACACCCTAAAAGGTGCTTCACCCGTCTCTCTTCAGCGCTGGGCAGCGCTGGCTGCCAGTGTTATGTGTGTGCTCTGGGGCTCCCTGGGCAGCAGGTGCATCACTGGTGCTGCTTCCTTCCTTCCACCCACATACACCTCCTCTGCCATGGTTTCATACCTCTATTCCAAAGTTCACGTTGTCCTCTCTCTTTCTCTCCCTCCCCCCAACTTTCTTTTAACAGCAGGAAAGAATTTCGTACACACCTCCAGCGAGCCCGGTACCGAATTACTCTTCGTCACCACTACATGTCCCAGTGGCTCAAGCAGTCAGGATGGAGGAAGACGCCATCAGACTGCCAGCACACCTGCGTGAGTGTCAGCATGAGGAAGACACGGTCAGACTGCCAGCACACCTGCGTGAGTATCAGCAGGAGGCTGCTTAAGTTCTTGGGCTGAGGAGAGGGACAGGGCGGGGTGAGGAGTTACTTCTGGTTTTATGGGAGAGAGCAGGGAAGTCCCTGGCTTTAGACTTTTTTTTGTTTTGTTTTAATAAGCTCTAGCTGGTTTGGTTTTCCTGGCTGTTGTTTTTAACTGAAGAAAGTTACTCTTTATAAATACGGTATGCTGAATCTCCCCTCCCATCTCCTGCACTCCTTGTCAAACATTTGGCTTGTTTTTCATGACAGGCACAAATATGGAGGTTTATTTTGACGGGAAGTGCTCTGTTTCCTTCCACTTTATTGGAACTGCTCAGTTACATTCTGCAACACAGGGTCAGAGTTTCACCAGCTGTGGCAAGCGGAATGCGTTTGTGCTGTGGCTATTTTCAGGTTCTGAGGGGTCTCAAATACTTGTGATGCCCAGGCTCTGTAGTGTTATAGCATGGTGGCTGCCAGAGGCAGTGGGAAAAGGAGGAGGAGTGGGCTTAGCTGTGCACAAAAGGATGCTGCAAAGGAGGAAGGACATTTCACTGACATTGGAACAAAAACTGGAGCTGAGGGCAAGATCAGAGCCAGGTACTTCCTTGCTGATATGATTTCATGTTTGACAAATAGGAAAGGCCAAGGACTGTTGGCCAGTGAGAGGTGAATTAGAATGGGGACAAGAAGAGTGGAATTTTCCTTTTTGGAGAGGAAGCAGTTCAGATGGAAATAAAGATGTTTTAGGTAAACTTTTGTCAGGTGTTACATTCCTGGGGTACTTAAGCAACAATGAATAAGAGGGCTGGGAGCAAACAAAACTTTGTGCTTTGCCCTCTGACAAATAGGTTTGGGATTTAGGGGGGAAGTCCGTGTTTTTCACAAGACACTGTCATTCCTGTCCTCAGCTGTCTTCCACACACACTCCGTGTCTGGATGCAAACTGTGTTCAAAGCATTTCTGTAGTCCTGTGCTCGCTCCCTTGCTGGCCAGTGAGTTACTCTGCCCCATGGTCACTCATTCCTATGCTGTGTCTTACATGTCCTGCATGGCCCAGTTTTCTGTGCTTCCTGGTGGGAGTGGGAGCTGCTCTGCAGTGTTTCTGACCATGTCTGGTCCCTGCCTGAGCATCCATGAGCTCCCAGGCCTGGCTGCACGTGTGTGTGGGTGCTCAGCTGTTCCCCTGGCCCGGAGAGGACTTGGTTGCCACACTTACAGGGCATTTCTTTGCTTTGCCAAAAGTAGGCACAAAAAAAGCCCAACACAGAAGCAGTTTTTCTCCAGCAGTTCTTTTCCATACTGGTGCTGTTCATCCCCAGATCTTTTGGGTTTTTTCCTCGTTGCATTAGTTGGTACTGTTTACTTCTGCTATGGGAGTCACTGTCCCCTCCACAGCAGGATCACAACTGGGTTTGCAGTTACTATTGCAGGATCACAACTGGGTTTGCAGTTACTATTGCAGGATCACAACTGGGTTTCCAGTTACTATTGCCCTCCCCACGGCCTCTGGCAGATGCATAAGGCAGGGAGGCAGAGACTCTTGCTACTGAAAGTGGTAGCACATACTGTACCTGCTTCCTTCCCATCCAGCCAGCATGCTGGATAGTGTTGAATTTATAAAGCTTCCTCTCAGTGAAGACTTCTTTCACACTATTTTTAGAATGTGATCCAACCTTTCACCTTGACTCTTGTTTTGGGCACATTTTTAAACTTGCAAGGCTTCTTTCCCTTTAGTATTTCCACACCAGTCTGACTTGTTGCAGTGTTAAAGCACAGATGATTAATCATGAAATATCTGTGAAACAGCCTTCCATAAAGTTAGTGTCTGAGGTCATAAACAACATGGAACACATTTACATAGCCTTGCTAATTGTAGTCAATGGCAGTGTAGTATTTTGCAGCTCAGTATGCAGTCAATAGTGACACAAAATGTTGTCAATCAACAGACCACCCAAACACTGTTAAAACCACTCTTTAAGTACATAGCTTCATATCTGGGCCAGGAGCAGCCATTGTGAATTTCTAAAATGATCTCTGGTATATCTTTTGTTACAAAACTGCATGCAGTAACTGCTGTGTTTAGGTCCAGTAACTGAGCTACAACATGTGCAGAAAGATTTCTGCTCTTCATGTAAAAAACTTAAGTGATGAGGAGGATATAAGGTCTCTAGATGTTCTTTTAATGCTTAATTATCTCCTTACTTGCCTTTTTTTAAGTGTCCTATTTATAGTTTGAATTAGTCAGGTTCAGTTTCCAACTATTAGATCTCATTATCGCCTTTCCTGCTAAATATTGTCAAAAGACTCCTCCTGATATAGGTGCTTTTAGATTGTCACTTCTTAACCTTTTCTTGGCTAAACTGGAGGGAAAGAAAGGTTCTTAAGGCTATCAGTCTTCCTGTTAAGCTTTCAGATTTCAAATTCTGTTTATATCACCTCTGTGAACTGACTCCCACTTCAGACATCCTTCTTAAAGTGAAGTCAAACAAAAGTGAAGCTGATATTCCAGTAGTCTTGCTAATACTGTGTATAGAAATAACTCAGTTCCTTTTAGATTTCATGTCATGAGATTTTAAGTGGTATTAATATAGGGTTTTTCAGTTCCTGCATGGACTCCTCTCTTTTTTTTCTTTTTTTTTTTTTTTTTTGTTTATTTTTAGACATGTGTCTGAGGTACAGCTTTGATCTTAAATCCAAACTGTCTCAGAAGTCAGTCAAAGTAACTAATTTTTAGTTCAGGCTGTGTATAAAGGTTGGGTTTAGGTTTGCAAAGTCTGAGGATTTTCTGGGTATGAGATTTTGTTAGGTTCCATCCCTATGGTTGTTTTTGTTGTTTATGTGGAGCATAATAACTTCTTCCAGCCTGCTTCAGGTCGGCTGCACTGATTCATCCAGAGACTGGGAAAAGAAGTGCAGTTTGCAAGGTGGAATGTGGACCTCTCTTTACTACAAGCTTTCTTCTCTTTGGTCAACAGAACTAAAATTATATAGGCAAAAACCTTGCGGTGATGTGAAGGCACCTTCCCCTTCTCACATAGCCTTTCATATTTGAAGTAGCTGCTTTCTTCCCAGCCAGCCCATTGTATAGAAATGCAGTATAATCAGTCTTAACTTTAAATCTCTGGGATAGTAATAATTTCTGGATAAAACTTACCTTTCTCTGGTGTTGCACTTATCTGTAAGGGACTTTTGACCCATACTTTTAAACATGCTTGTCTGCCTAACATCCACTAGGAACAGAGTATTAGGGGCATTGTCAACAAAATATCAGTGGGGAGCTGGGGAATATCCTTTCCTACATTTCAAGTATGTAGGCAGAAAACAGTTGCTCTTTATCCCTGGTGTGTCTGCCATGGTATATATGATCTCCACTAGACTACACTAATGTTAGATAGAAGGAGTGTTTGGAAAATTGACATTTTCTACTGAGGATTGAAGAGAAGCAAGTTCAGTTCACACACAAGGTGCTGCCTTTGGTGCCTTCTGGGACCTTGGACTCCTTGTTTTAGATCCCCCAGTGTAAAATGAAAAAAAAAACCAAACATGTGTGCAAAGACTCTTAATTGTTTTGAAAAATAATACAGAAACTGCCCAGATATTGTGATAATGAAAATTTCATTTTATTTTTTGTCTCATATGGTAAAATGTTATTAGCTACTTATTTTATGCTATGGCCAATATCTTGCAATAAAAAGTTCTTAGAACTGGATAAAGGATACAGCATGTAAGAAATGGATATGAGAACCCTTTTCCGTGTCTATTGATATGCTCTGAATTATGGAGAAAACAGCTTTTTCCTTTTTAGTAATATGTGAGATTAAAATAAGGTGGTTTGCTTGCTAAAACAGCAACTGTAAATGTGTGCTGCAGGCTTAATGGTTTCCTTTTTTTTCCTTCAATATAAAACTTCTTCAACAGGAGAGACAGAATAAATCCCAGTGCTGAGAAAGGATTTGTTGCATGCTCTGATCCTATGTAACATCATTCCCTTTTGCATGCTTATGTTGATTTGTACAGTTTGATTTTTATCTCTGAAGGGCATCTTCTCTTGGGAGCATGTATGTATTTGTTTAGGGAGAGTGATCTCATGGGCAAGGATTTCAGAGTTTTCTCTTGATGCAAACATGAAAACAAGTTCATTTGTTCCTCTGAACTAATTACTCTTCTCTCCTTAATGTTGGCATCCTTCGTATGTCTGCAGCCCATTGTCATAGTAAGACACGCTGCATATACTTTTCTGTGCACACAAGCAATTCTTCTTGGCAACAACTAATATTTCTTGCTGTTGCCTTTTTTCTGAATCCCCAACATCAGTGCAGCAGTTTGCACTGATGTTCAGAGTGCAGTGATACACTTGAGATGTCACAGTATGTGCATCCACCTCACAGGGGAGAAGTTCTGTTGTCTTGACTCCACTTACTTTTGGGGTGTTGTGATGGTAGGGAAAGCTCAAGACCTATTTGTGAAATCATTTGAGTGCTTTTTGTTTCTTGTGTAAGCTTGGGTTCTGGTCTTTGGTTTTCAGTGTGTGAAAAGTTCCACGTCACAGCTGATTTGGATAAGCTTCATGTTCTACTTCCCTCACTAAGGACAGAAAGGAAATTTATTTTGTTTTCTGCAAAGATTATATTAAAGGCCTTTAAGTTTTTACTGAGTGTTTCAATGGAATATTTTTGCATGGCTATTTGTGTTGTTATTTGGTGGGAACTAGTCTAGTGCTTCTGTATTGGTTTGGCATCTTTGTGACCTTAGCTGTACCATATAATGCAATAAAGCTCTGTGTGGACATGAGTAGTAGGGTAGGACAGGTAGTTGGGCAGTTTCTTTAAACTAAGGCATTTATTAGACCTGAAGGCAGTTTGCTGCCAGCTTCTTTCTTCTGATCATGCATTGTTGCTTATATGTATCATTTGTGTTTTAAGGGCACTAGTTTTCTTTTTTTTTTTTTTTTTTTTTTTCCTTATTAAAGGAATGCAGGAAGCAATTAAGAGAAGGTGG